CATAATAGGACCTTGATGCACGTTATTTTTTTTTCGGATCAAGTTCGAAATGGCCGACTGGCAGCCATTTTGTTTTAAAGAATTCAGTTCTGGATCCGTATCCGAGACATGTCTGGATTGATCAAGTTCAAACTTCACACACACATGGTACATTGTACATCATGTCACAAATAGATATGTGCATTTGTTTCATGATCCGCTTAACAATAGCTGAATGATGGCCATTTTAAGGCCGAAAATGCATCAAAATCACGTATTTTCACAATTCCGGAACCCGATCTCAGTCATGCATAGATGGATTTTGTTCAGATTTAGTACAATGTGTTGTACATATACAGGTGCATTTCGGTCATGATCTGCTTTGAATGTATATGTCACTCAAATATGAACGGAACGGGGACGTGTCATTGACAATGACTTGTTAAATACATAATTTAAAATATATTATTACATTGACTTAGGTTTTTTAATTTCCATTCTCTGTTTTTTGACTTCATTTTGTTTTCTTTTGCAGGGAGGAGGTAAATAACCACAGGGTCAAATGGAATACAAAATTTTGTTTCCACTGTAAGATGAGCGCCAACGCTTCCACTGGTATCCTAGATCCGTGCATGTGCAGGGTGTCAGTCAGAAAGGTACGTTCTCACTTTGTGCTGGCTGTAAGAATTCATATGCATATAACATGGACCACTTTAATTCAGAGTCTCATGGTGAAATGTTGTACATTGTAGCAGTGTTCATTTTGCTGGAGATCTTAATAAGTCTCATTTTAATCATGAAATTCAGTCCTCACAAACAAATCTCAAATCATGGAATAAGAAGAAGAATTCTTGTGGCAAAAATGTGGACGTTGAAGTATATTTTGAAGAATACAACAGAGTTAAAAATACTAAATGTGGAGTAAAAATTATTCAATTATGACAAGAAAAGTCCCCAGATTTCTTGTTCGCACTTGTAGGTTATCTTGCTGTTCAGGTCAGAGGTCGGGTTATTGTCTTGATCTGACTCTGGGTTAATTTTTTCACAGGGGAATAAAATTAAAGTTGGCCAGTCATTGCGTAGCGAGTTTTTGAATTTTTGTGTGAACAAACAATGTTTTCACAAACGTCGTCATATTTGTTTTGTCCGACCTATTTGAAACGTTAACAACTGCCAGATGTTTGATTTGTTTGTCATGGAAATGATTTATTTCCTCAATAATTCTGCACTCCTATATTAATGGCTGAGTCAATAATTACAAAAAACTCCTTAACTTTTTAAACACTCTCTCCTGATTTTAGCGTTTTTGAAGGAAACTCTGAGACATGTGAATGTTATGGAGAAGAGATATATGTGTATTAACCTTGTATTCTTATTAGAAGGCTATCTTGATTGAACAGGTGTTTATGATGTGACATCTACCCCTGTGGTTTAAAAAACATTTATGCGTTCACACAAGTAAGGGTAAAGAGTGAAAATAGTCAATGTGTTTAAATTTAATAGTTAATTTTAATTAGTGGGTTTAATAAATCGTCTGCAGAAAGACTCTGATGATAGCTGAAATGAATGAATGAAAAAAAAATGGCGTCGGTAGGTGATGTATAATGTTGCATGGATATTTACTTTTATATCGCATTCAGTATCGAGGAAATAAGCAAAAAGAAACTCAGTGACTATGTACATGTATGGTTTTTACTCTAAAAATAAAAACCTAGTCATTTTCATAGGGATTTAATCTTGATATTGTCATCATATTCACCGTTTTTTAAAACTCGCAGATTCGTCGAACGAATGACATGGATTCAATTTCATCTGTGGATTTAAAGAAAAAATGAATAATACATGCATTATTGTAATTACTGAATTATTTAATCGCATGAGTAGCAGTTATAATAGTACCATAGCAATCAGTATCTTGTAAATGGCACAAGGCCAAATGAGGATGAATTTCTGAAGGTCTGCAATTATTCATATCATGTTCACCATTCTCAAGGTGAGGTCAATAATAAAGTTTCAGATCCATTCCTAGAACATAAAATTTTAGGCCCTAGCAATGGTTGTTGCTATGATATTAAAATTAATCATTTTGCAAGTAATCCATTTACTGACTTAAGAGAAATATTAAAAAAATGTTTTCAACTTATTATTCTACATGACTGCCATTTTTTCTTGGTGCATTTCTACTTCGCTTTTATAACATTATCTATCAATATTCCATAAACTTATCTTGGTCCTTTCCTCAGACACAGATCTAATGAGAATTTTTTACATATTTTTCAAAAAAATGGAAGTTTGGCATTAAAGTCTAAAAACAGTTTAAAACGAAATAAACAAAATTGAAATGTATCGGATAATATTAAATATTAAATTTAATTATTTCTGTTCCAGGGAAACTGCCAAAATGTGTGGCCTTTAATGAGATGGTGTGTAAGATCTATAAAGTTAAATACACATATAAATGTATTCTGTTCCACCTACAATAGTCATTATTCAGTGTTTGTTAATTGTCGACAGTAGGTAATAAAAAGAACTGATAAAATTAACTGGCATGTATCTTTATTTATTTTATCACTTTATAAACATTCATTGGAATGGATAATAATGGATACAAACAAGACAAACCAAAGGCATATCAAAGCTAAAATAAACAAATCACTAAGAAATTACAATAAAAATGTAAATTACGTGACTAGAAAATCCAAGAAGGTCACCGAGTGACATCGATATCCAGGGGTTTTGTCATCAAGATTCTAAAGAGATTCTCAAATATTGGCCTAGAGGGATTGTCAGGGGTTATTGCTGAAGATAAATCTGAATTTGCCATCATGGTTTATTTGATTAAAATTTGTGGACATTTTCCACGCTTCCCTAAATAGAATGTTTCTTTGTTGAGTTGGGACATGGCATGACATCACAAGATGTTGTTCCTCTGTAATCTGATTTGTGTTTCAGAGAAGACATGTCGTTTTATTTGCAGGCATGTTTATCTTATTCAGGAGAATGACAGGTAGACTTGTTTGGCCAATTGGCCGACAGGCTTGGTGGACATGGTGCACATCATCATGGGAATGAGGAATAAGTCTAAAGTGGTCAATTGTGTTCATTTCGTAGTCTCATGCTATTGATCAGTCAATGTGTAATACTCGGCTGAGATATAATTATGGTTGTAGATATTCAAAGATTATTTCCCATACATGTGCACTGCAATCCCAGGGATGGACGATTGGCTCTTTAACCCTAGTGTTTTCCATATACATTTATATATGGAGAATTGTGTATCGTAAAACCAATTAAACCTGATATTGATTAGCGATATTTTATTTTAAAACCTGCATTTCCACAGGGTAGATGTATTACAGTTCTGGCTGTTCTTTTTTTTACCTCTGCTGTCGACATTGTCAAGCGTAGCTTATCATACATGTATGAGTGATTGTCTGTTGTCTGTGTCAACTTTTTACTTTTTCGACTTCTTCTTGACAACTACAATTCTTATTGCTTTGATTCTTGGTGTATATGTACCTTGGGCAGACCTCTCTTAGATTTGTTTTGTGATGATATCTTTATTCTCTAATTTTGGTAAAAAGTGATATTTTTGACTTATTGCTGAAAACCGCAAGTCTGATTGCTTTGATATTACATATATAGGTACTACAGGTAGACCTCTCTCAGATTTGTTCATTTTGTAATGATATCTTCAATTCTCTAATTGAAATGTAAGTTATCTCAGCCGAGAGGCTGCTTGTTTTTAAGCTCTCATTTCCTGAATATTAGTTGACAACACTTCTTGCCCATAATTATTATTCTTTCATTTGCTGGTTATAAAGTGATAATTTCCTTTTCTCTAAGAAGCTTTTCTATCTCAACTATGTTTCAATTTATTATGCAAATTCTTTTAGGAACGAACCATTGTGTCTATGGGGAAGGGGAGGTTGGAATTTTCACATGAATTATTTTTAAAAAGTGACAAATTCTTTTTTCTCCAAGAGCCTTTTTTTTCTCTTTTGGCGGTAACCCACTTTCGCGGTAACCCGACTTTTACCATATGTACACTCCCGTAATGTTTTATTTTATAAAAAAAAAAAAATAAAGAAGAGAAAGCATGTAATCTATCAAGTGCCTCAATCTAACATAATGTTTCTTTGTTTTAATTATTTTGCTCCCTGTTTTTTCTTCATTCTCCATTAGAATACATCATTGAAAATTCTAATCTTGCTCTTTATCCTCATAGATAATAGACCTATCTGGGTGTTGATTTTCAGAGAGATTAAAATGAACATGAACTGCTTCAACAGTGCAGTGATAATTCTATTTTTTTTATGTACAGTATGTTTATTTATGTTGACTTTAATAATGTCATGGTTTGAAATAATACATAGCTCATTTTAATACCCCTTTAAACCTGATCCATAGAAATATCAAGTGTCTGGCGTATCGTTAATACGATTTAAAACTGTCCGCAAATATCCATTTACAGTGAATTAGGAATTCTGACGATTGGAGGAAGTACTAAAAAAAAATGAAACCACAACGTACTGTATAAACTTTTTTAGTCTGTTGTCTGATCAGATTTGTTAAATATCGGACATGTTCAATTTCAACAGATTATTTTCTTGCCTATTTTGCCTTAAATTAATATTTTTTTCAATAAATGTGGTAAGAAAATCTAATCCTGTAAACTAACCTTTATTGACGTTCACTAAAAAAGACCATTATTTTTTTTTTTAAAGAAACAGTTATTTTTCATAGTGAACAAGTGGATAAAATTGTCACAGGAATTATCTTGCATCCCAAACAGCCCCCCCCCCCCCCGTCCCTACCTCAAGTAACATTAAACCCAGTAATTAATTAATTATACTAATCCATTAATAATTCCCAGGGTTTTTGAAATGCGTAAAATTAGATCCATTAAATTGCAGTAGAAGTCGTATTTAAATCCCAATGGAAATTACTGATTAAGTAACTGTAAACTTCTCATTTTTTCGAAAGGTGTTATTCGCTTGGTTTTAATTTAGCGAATTTAGCATCCAATGAAATCAAATTAAGCTAAGGGGCTAAAATTGATAAATCAAATTAAGTCAAGGGGGATAACCTTGATAAATCTACAATACAAATTTATATTTTACTCGCTGGGTTTTATTTTAGAATATTTAGCGTCCTTTAAAATCAAATTATGCTAAGGGGCTAAACTAATTAAGCTAAGAAGCTAAAATTGATAAATCAAATTAAGTTAAGGGGGATAACCTTGATAAATCGACAATACAAATTTCTATTTTACTCATTGGTTTTAGTTTAGAATATTTAGCGTCCATTAAAATCAAATTAAGCTAGGGAGCTAAAATTGATAAATCAAATTAAGCTAAGGAGCTAAAATTGATAAATCAAATTAAGCTAAGGGGCTAAAATTGATAAATCAATAACCTTGATAAATCGACAATACAAATTTATATTTTACTCACTGGGTTTTAATTTAGAACATTTGGCATCCAATGAAAATTATATGATGTGTTGGTTGTTTAAAAATCCGCAAAGTAGAATATAACTAAGAATATAAAAGGCAGTTCTGCTGTTTTATTAGGGGCCCAAGCCTGAAGGGCGAGGCCCCTATTCTTATTGTCCGGTTTTTTCTTTCTTCTTTCTTTCTTTCTTTCTTCCGTAA